TGTAGCTAAAAATCAGATTTTTAGTAGATTTTAATAAAAGTTGATGAAATGTGTGGTTACAAAGTAGATAAATGCTGTAGATCCCATTAAATGTGTGGTTGAAAATGAACGAGGAAAATTAAGGTTTAGAAAATGGGGGCCAAACAGGACTGGTTTCATTTTGGATTGTTGATTGGGGGATAGTAATGATGTATTTTCTCTGATTCTTTTCATATTGAGAACGACTAAAATTCTGTATGGAACTTAGGACTTGGCTTTGTTTCTAGGACCTAACTGTCACTGTTTTTATAGATTCCTTTGTTTGACGGATTTGTGTTCATTTTGGACAATCATGATGGCCTACTTGTTCATTTAAACGACTAGACAAGGGGATGGGTAAGAGTGCTCTGTCTGTCTAACTATAATAGTCGTAGTAACGTAGCACTTTTGAATGAGAAAATGGTCTTTTTGTGTAAACCAGCACTTTATTTGTTGAACTGTTTGAGTTACTAGTGCTTCAATCTATTTCTGCTTCATTTTGCTAAATTCTACACACTGATATGCTTTTTAGAGGGTTCCGTAGACTGTAAATACTAATTGGGATGCTTTATTTACTTTATTAAATATGAGGGGTCAATTAATTGATAAGAAAAAAAAAAAGAATAGGTTTCTTGTTTCCAGCTATAACATGAGCTTGTGTTGTGGATCGGCTGTAACATTTGATGAGCTTTCGATGAGGTAACCCTGGGAAATTGCAGTTCAAACAAAAAGTCAATTATCTCACATACTTTGTATGTGTACGCTTTTGACAAGAAAAAAGAAAACATACTTGTACAATGAAGTGATAGGACCAGAGGTTTTGTTGCAAGAGTGTATTGCTTAAAATTATTTCATTTCATTCTCTCTCTCTCTCGGGGCAGGACGAGGGGCTGGGGCCCTGGAGTTAAATGTCTCTCATCTTTGGCAAAATATTCACATAGATATCTTTAGCCAAGATATTCAGATTCATAGATGATTGATGATACTATACATTAACTCTGTTCTATCCATTTTCTTAGTGCTTATGTCTTTCATCTTTTTTGAAGTACATGTTCATTATCTGCAGTTGTAATCATTCTGCTCAATCAGTGGATGACTAGTGGTGTAAGCAAGATGTTTGAACACTCACAGTTGGTCGAGTTTACTTGGCCATGGGCATACCAAGCTTTGTGCTTTTCATGTGGTTATTTTGCATATGATCAGTGGGATATGTTGCATTATCGGCTGTACAGTGGTTGGATCCCTTCAATCCTAGTCCATCATCTATTGCTCCTTGTTTGCTTCACTCTAGCATTATATCGGAAAGTCACAATCAACTATCTTATTCTCACTCTCATTTGCGAGGTGAAATTGCAAATTATCCATGCATTTCATTACCAAGTCCAACTCTGTCTTTGGCATTTTCTTTTGTAGATGATGTTGCATGCACATATATGCATGCTCAACAACCAAGGGATTCAGAGCATGTTTGGCTAATCTTAAAAAGTTTACTTAAAAGTAAATTAAAAAATATTCAATAAGTAACTCTAATATAAATAATTATTTTATTGGTCAAAGTTGGAATTAGTTACTCTTCTGATAGTGAGGTAAGAGTCACTTACGTAGCCTTTATTTTATTGAAAAGTAGTCTATTATATCAATACAGTGTTTCAAGTTTAAACATTATTGTAGTGCTTTATTCAAGTATAATCTATCTCCACCGTTCTAGAATGTCGAGTAATAATCTTGAGTGATAAATGCCAACATGCCATACTTCTTAAACATCTGTCTTTGCAAGGCTATGGCTTTTCAGTAGGAATTGATCATGAAAGTATGCTGGCAAGAACCTATAATTATGTGCAGGTTCATTTCTTATTTCATTCTAAGATTTTTCAACCAATCAGTCATACCAAACTTCTCGACTTCAACCATGTTAGCAAAAGTTCTTGGGTTTTATGCAACATCATGACCTGTGTGTCATACAAACAATTATCGAATATAAGAATGCATACGCACGATGTATTAAGACTTGGATTCTATCTTAAAATGCCATACTTGTTGAGAAGAGCACTCAAACTTTTATATGTTATATATTTATTTCTTATTTATTCGATATGGATATGCACCTTTAACGTGCCCCTGCAAAATGATAGCTCGTTTGAGTATACTAATCTTGAAATTCATGTTCTCACTTGAGTCTTATTCAGATTAAATTTACCGTTTGAGCTTAATAGACTATGATACCAAGAATTGGGTCCATCTTTCAAGGTCAAACTTGATAAGAGAACTAATTCAAGCTCTTGTATGATGTATATTTAATCATATTTATTCGATGTAGGATATATATATATATATTTGGGGCACGTGATATGTTATTTTCATTGTTGTTCCTAATGCCTCGGTTCGTGTTGCCTACAGCTACATTCGATTTTTCTGCACGTTCGAAAAGTGCGACGAATGGTTGGCGTTCGGGATGCCCAGAGTATGATTGTGAAGATAGAATGGATTCTTAACTGGTTAACCTTTGTGTTCGCAAGATGCATGTCACATGTTCTCATCACAATCAAGCTACTCCAAGATGCTCCCAAGTTTGAGAAGGGAATCGTGCTTCCACTTGCTCTCCTTGGAATGGTGGGAATGAATTTTCTTAATATCTTTCTTGGAATTGATCTCTTTAAGGCTCACAGGGGAGAGACGAGAACACAAACACGGAATGATCATAGTAACCATCAGGAATGATTGATGTACATACAAATACTCCGTGTTCGGTAAGACGGATTGAATAGCACTTATCAGTTAAATCTTGTTCGTGCATTACCAGTTCAATGGTTTATTCTTTCATTACAAGAATGTTTATGCTAAGATAATATGTTGTTGGAGTATTGTACATGATATCATGTACATTTTGCTCAAGTTGAAGAAGAAAAGAGGGACCAGAAAAAAAAATGAATATGAGGGAATTTACGTGTGAATTTCATGTTGGAGTTTTGATTTATTAAAGTGCTTGGCCTCTTGTTTGATGTTTGTCTTGAAAGTCTATCCTTAGAGATGATTGATTATGAAAGCACTTATAATTGTATCTGTTTTTGGGCTTTTGATTGATTCTTTATTTGAAACCGGAAAAGCAGTGAGAGAGTTTTTGGTTTTTAATGTATTTTTATGATTACTAGAAAAATAGAAGAAATATTAGTAAAAATTGCAGCAATGGTTCCTACCCTTTTCAATTTTTGAAAATTTTACCTTAACCTTCATTTTGTGCTAACGAAGGACCCAACATTTCATAAATATG